GAGCTGGAGCGTCGGTGTCCATTAGAACGGCATGACCAAGCCAGCGGAGCCGCTGTATTTTAATTCGCTGCATTACGTCCATGTCGTTGTAAAGCTTATAGAGCTCATCGTTCTATCGTCTGCGGTACTCGCCGTCGCGAACGCGTAAAGACCCGTAAATCTTCCGCAAAATATTTCTCTCGATTACTTCAAGAGCCGCTTCATCGGATGTTGTCATTGTCCATGCTTCTGCGCCATATACCAGCACGGACATGATGAGTGACTTATAGAGTGTGGTTTTCGTACGTCGAGAGAGGACTTTACTCCTGAATTGCCTACTCAGTCCAAAGTAGTACTTGTTGGCTAAAGCGATTCAGCGCTGGATTTCCATGCTAACATTATTATCGGTGTTAATGCTGGTTCCCAAGTAAATGAAATTCTCTACTTTCTCGAAATTATAACTGTCAACAGTGACCTTGGGTGCCAAAGCGCGAATGTGCTGTTTGTTTGATGAGAGGAGATACTTCGTCTTGTCCTCGTTTACCACCAGACCCATTCGCTTTGCTTCCTTATCCCACTTGGAAAAGGCATAACAGACTTCGCGGTTTTCGTTACCGGTGATATCGATGTCATCGGCATAAGCCAGCAATTGCACGCTTTTGTAGTAAATTGTCCCTGAGCTGAGAACTGAACCGCTGCAGCTCTTATTCTCTTCTCCAACATCAGATTAAAGAAGTCACATGAAAGAGAGTCGCCCTGTCTGAAACCCCGTTTGGTGGCGAACGGCTCGGAGAGGTCTTTCCCAATCCTGACGGAACTGGTTGTATTGCTCAACGTCATTTTACACAGCCGTTTGCATTTTAAATAAAATAAGTAAATTAATTTCTGTTTAAAATATTGATTGCGGGGTTTGAAATTGGAATTTTTAATACGAATAATGTAGATTTCACATCGCAAATGAATTTTTTAATAGAGACCTCTAATTCAAGTATTTATTTGAAAAACAAAATTCAATGAAATTCTATAAAATTGACCGTGATATTTGATCCCCAATTTGTGCCCATAAATCCAAGAACAAAGTATCGATTTTGGGGTTTTTATTTTTCACCTGTTTGTATGATCAGTGGTAAAGTGCTGGTTGCGCAGCACTCTGAAAAGTAAAAATGTATAGTTTAAAAAGAACGCCAAATGCCATAAGGGCGATCGGTTTTAGTTTTGTAAAATAGGTTATTCTTCTACAGGTGAGTTTATATAATGTATAATATAAATTTTTTTTAATATATTCAACTGATTAATTAATTTTTTAATAGAATAGTCATAAGTCATTTGCTCCATGTTTCACCAATAAAAAAGATATGTTTATTTCAAGGTAATTCTATTTTAAACTATAATACTAACTATTGAATCCGACCGTGTCCGACCTTTTGTGTAAGACGCGATTTTTTCAACCAATTTCGTGTAAGATACATGTAAGCATGATTATAAATATTATAATATAATAGCATTTCTATTTCTTCTCCTTCTTTATTGGCGCTGTAACCGCCTAAGCAATTTTGGCCGATTCCAAAACCGCACACCAGTCGTTTCCCTTCCGTGCCAACCTTTCTCTTTCTATGTTACCAGCATCGCGACCCGCGCTGTATATTTTCAGAGCTATAGCGTTTCTGTCCATTCGAACGACATGGCCAAGACAACGGAGCTGCTGAATTTTAATTCGCTGCACTAAATATGTCTATATCTTTGTAAGGCTCATACAGCTGATCGTTAAATCGTCTGCGGTATTCGCCATCGCCTTTTTATCTAAGAATTTTAAATACAAACTTAAAAAACCTAATACATAAATAAATTTAATACATAATTTTCAAACTAAACATATTTCTTTTAATTTCAGGCGCCATGTTGGATCGGCCATTTTGTTTTAAGTTGTTTTGATCACAGATTCGAATTTATCGATCCCAATAACTCTTAAATAATATTATAATATTATTATTTAAAAAAAAAATTGTGTGTTTAAAATTTAGGGCGCCATATTGGATCGGCCATTTTGGGTTTTGTTATTTTCACTTCAGATTCGAATTCAGCGACCTCGAAAACCCCTGTAAACCCGAATTCAAATCAATATGCTAATTTTTTAAATTATGGGCACAAAATGGGTATCAAATATCACTGTATAGCGCCATCCAGAGCTAATAAAAAACAAAATTCAAAAATGAATTCCTCGCATCAAAAACTTTATATGAGTATTTTCTGAGAAAACTTTTCAAGAACTTAACCTAGTTAAACAATAAATTATGTGCAAAAATACAATCAAGATATCTTCCTTACTTGAGCTAAACTCGAAAAAGCCATTAACGTGTTATTATTGACTCTTAAACCTATCGTTTGCACTTGGTTTGACTCAATACCGATTTGAGCTGCCGCACAGTGTGATTAGTAATAATAATTATTATTAATATTTTGTATTTGTATTGATATATCAATTCAATTCAATACAGTCAAACGGAATATTCCATGCACAGTTTTTAACTGAATGTCCTCTTAATAGTATCACGTAGTCTACGTTTAAGTTTAGGGCTTCGGCTTCGGCTCCGACACAACACGCAGGTCAAAACGAGGCGCTGGACAAATTGCCCTTTTGGCCTGATGAATGACTTATGACAAATGATGTTTAATAATTTGACGTCGCTGATTCGAAATATACCCTCATTTGTTTTCTATCCGCTCTGGTTTACGAGTTATAGCTTTCACCTTCGTACACTAGAACGCACACATGATGACCGACTATTGTTGGAGCATTCAGAACAGCACTCTGCCTTCAACTTCTGCACGGAAATCTTATAAAAGAAATTGAAGATCTTAATAACATTAGATAAACTATAAATATCCCCCCTATTATGAAGTCTCTACACCACCTTATTGTTATCCGATCATTGCTCGTGTTTTAACGATCGTAATCACTACACGATGTTTATTGCGCTGTGTTGCCAAGAGAGAAAAATTAAATGATTTCATTAAAAATAAAGACATTAATAATAAATAAAGCGAACTTATAGAAGTATATATTTTTTGCGAACTATTAAAATCACCTATGTATGTTAAATTTTTTACTTGCTATATCGCGTGTCAGTTCCATGTGCTTAAACAAACATCTTTCAACATACCTAGATTCAGTAAAATTCTGTAATGGCAACTCTGGCATAATGCAACGGCGCAACTGGTTTCAAGTGTACGCTTTGGTATACAGAATTTATAAAAGTGAAATTGAGTTTGCAGAAAGGAAGAGTGAGTTTTACTGGTGAATATATAAATTAAAATTGATATTATAAATTATTGTATAAATAAACAAATATGCAGTGCAGTGCACGACACAGAAAAAGAGTTATAAAATTAGAAAGGGAAAAGTTCTCGTTAAGATTAGAAAATGCAAATAAGGCAAATGCGCAAATTGAATATACCGATAAAGCAATTGGCTTAGAAAATATTGAACGGTTGACTTGGTTAATCATATACCGATAGATAGGGAAGTTTCCTCACATGGACAATTCGGTGGGACAACTGGCCAAACGATTAAACTAATAAATGATCTAGGGCAATGGCACATTAAGAGTAGAACATCCCATAAAAACATGAGAGAGTTATTGTGCCTTTTAAGAAGTAATGGCTTAGATGTACCCCTTTTTCCATCGACGATTCTGGAAAAAAGTACTTCAAGAGTAAATGTAGTGGCTATGCAACCTGGCCAATATGCACATTTCGGTATAAAGCAAGATTTAATGAAGGCGGCACATATTTTAGAAAATTTCGTTGAAATTATTTGTGATATTAATATTGATGGTTTGCCGATCTTTAAGAGCTCAAATATGCAGCTTTGGCCGATACTAGTTATAGTAGTTAATATTAAAAACATAAAGGTTTTTCCTGCTGGTAGCTATGTTGGGAAGCAAAAACCTAATGATGTTAGCGAGTTTTTAAACCAATTTGTCCAAGAAATTTTAGATTTACAGCAAAATGGTATAGCAGTCAATGGCAAAGAAATCTTATTTAAGATACGGGCGGTAATTTGTGACGCACCAGCGAAGTCGTTTGCTTGTGGTATCGCTCACCATTCTTCAGAACATGGTTGTTCGAAATGCACACAAGTTGCAAAAAAAATACATAATGTTTTAACTTACAGCACAGAAATCGCCGAAGTTATAGGCGACGATGATTTCGCCGAAAGAAAATTTAAAAATCAACATCAACCACGTTTCCTTAAAACCAAGACACCTTTCGAAGAAATAAATTTAAAAATGATCCGCCAAGTCCCTTTAGATCCCATGCATGTCATTGATTTGGGTGTAACCAGAAAAACGCTAAGCAAACTTTTTAAAAATAAAGTAAACGAAAAAATTTCAAACTCGAGCAAGTTAAATATATCTAAATTATTGATTTCATTAAAAAAAAAATATTACCAAAGAATTTGCAAGATTGCCCCGTGGTTTGGAGGAAGTTGCCAACTGGAAAGCTACAGAATTTCGCCAATTTTTACAGTACACAGGTGTTTTAGTTTTAAAAGATAATGTTGGTTATGATTTTTACTTTGCATTTCTGCTCCTACATTGCGCAATAAGGTTATTGTCATGCCCAAAAAATTTCCAAAATAACATCGCAGTAGCAGAAGGGTTATTACAGCATTTTGTCCATAACTTTGGAGCAGTTTTTGGACCACAAAGTGTAACATACAATGTTCACAGTGAACTATGTGCTTGTGTCAGGCAGCATGGTATGCTATATAACTTCTCTGCATACGAGTTCGAAAACCACTTACAATTGATTAAAAAAGATGTGCGCAAGCCCACTGATATTTTGCAGTAATTGTACAAAAGAAATTTTCATACAAATTTAATAGAGGAACAAAAACTTTTAGGGATTAGAGAAAAAAATTTCATCATTTATAGCTACTCTACTAACGAATATTCCCTAAGTGTAACAGCTCCGAATAATGTATGCCTTTTAATGCCCTATATACCTTTTAAAATTATTGGATTCAAACGTGAAGAAAATAATGAAACCATAGTAATAGGGCGCCGTTTCAATAATATCCTTCCATTTTTTGAAGAGCCATTAGATTCAATATCGGCACTAGGCATTTGTACTGCCGATAATATACTAGAAGAAACAGAGGAAATATATAATACAGATAGAATTAGCTGCAAACTTCTGTCGCTGCCATATGAAAGTAAAGTTATTTTAATGCCAATTTTACATGAGTGCACTTAAAAGTAAAACTAAAATATAATTAATACATACAAATTAAAATACAGATACAACACCAGTACAAAAAATAATATAAATATGGAGAACGAACCGGAAAAACTACAGAGATCGCATGCTTTTGTAGGAAACGAACTAAAAAATTGTGAGTATAAAAGAGTAGTCAGAATGTTTGATTATTTAAATAGATACAATTCTCAAGGTAAACATTTTATTTTTCAGATCGTATCACGAAAGCCCCATGTCATCTATGTATCCAGTTCAAAGGTAGGCTACTAAAAATGTATTTAATACCTTAATACGTCAAGTAATAATATTTTTTGTTATATATTGTAGAAATGATTGAAAGACAAACCCAATTAATCACTGAAATGATGGCCGATCAAAAAATTTTAAGAGAAAACCTTTCGAAATTGCAAGGTGATTTTAATACGAATTGTTAATATAGATATCGTTAGCTCTTTTTTAAAAACAAAGTTTTTAAGAATAAAGCTATTAGTAATCAATATTGTATTTTTTTTTTTACTTTTTACAGCAACAACAGAAAATCAAAACAAGGTTATAGTGGAAATGATGGCCGATCAGAAAGTTCAGTTGCAAGCATTTAATAAAACTCGCCAAGACGTAACTGCCATAACAACAGCATTTCCGCTTAAAACAGAAGAAGATCTTCAAAAGATGGAAGCTGAAATAAATGAAATTAATGAGGAAAAATATGTAATTACTAATTATAAGTCTTGTATATCTTGCATAAAATATTACTGTCCATTTTTTTCTTTTTAGGTATCTGCCGTAAAATATTTACTTGATGGAAGTGCGCCTAAAAACTTAGAACGCATACACTGAGAAAAGAGTTTAGTTACGTCAACCAAATATGTTTATATCAACACATGATTTGGTTATAGTTACACTGTTTGGTTATAGTTACCAAATCATGTGTTGAGAGAAATATATTTGGCTGACTTTTTTCTGAGTGTATTTTCTCGAGAAGTGTGCATGATATATAACACGGACGGAAACTTCGGGAAAAAAAGTCTTAGGAGCAAGCAAAATATATTTAAAATTGTTTTAGGTAAGCATTTAAATATGTTAACGTAAGTTCAGTATTTATCATTTTCCTCGTTTAAGTATCACTAATAAAATTGTTGTGGAATCCGTTTAGTGCCACATTTAACGATAAATATGGTTATTTTTTTTGTACAAAATAACTTATTTTATTTTAAATCAAACAATAAATTTTAACACAAATTTTGGGGGTTCCCCTATTACCTCAGTCAGACTCTAAAAGGGGATCGACAAGACCTTTTAACTATCCAAATCCCAACCTTTTAATTTTGCTTCAAAACAGCAAGTTAATCAATCTATTTTTATGTTCACGTTCACAAACCATTAGTTATTACTTACATTGCTTTACTTTAAACTGATTAACGGCAATTTATTCAATAAAATCACTACAAAAATGTCTGCGCATTTGTATAAAAATTAAACGGCGAAGTTGAGCTGTCAGATATAATGTAAATATGCACTATATATAATACAATATATTAATATATGTATAGTGAAGACTGAGAATAAATATCTGCCTTAAATGAATGAAAATTTAATTCTTTCAAAAACGTAACTGTTTGTGTACATTGGCTTATTTCAGTACGAAGTGCTAGATACCTCTGTAAATGGCCATTTTTCAAATGGTTCCCCTGTGGTTTGTGGAACGGTCCGAGGGTTATGTATGACTTTTTAATAAAGTTTGAACTGCACTCTTTTTAGTGAGTGAGTTATCAGGAGCCATGCCCTCGCCCCTCCGCCAACTAACAAAAGAATATTTCACTTTCACACAGTACATTACAAGTACATATGTATGTTTAAATCACTTTGCCGCACTTTACACTTCTGTTTTCTTTGTTCAGTTTAATTAATACATATCTGTTCTGTTATTTTAAAAGGCGTATGCTTACTTTCTTTAGCTAACAATAGTTTATTTGGCGCAAGACAATTCAAAACAATGTAAATGACAAAACACAAATGGCAAGTTAAGATGAACGATTATACAATTGCTCGATAGAATAATCGAATTTCGCTGTTACCACATTGTGAGAGTTATAGGGAATTTACATGAGGCCTGAAGTTGTCGGCTGCCTAATTTCGTTCAACTTTTGATTCAACTAATCGCCTGTGGAAGTTGAATCATGTAAATTCCCTATTACAAGAATTTTTAATTTGATAGAAAAGTAGGTAGATTATATACGTAAATAAACTATGTTCTTTGGGGTTACGTAAGAGAGCAAATTTCGTTATTTGATCTCGAAATTTGTAAACATTATAACTCATAAGGTCCCATTTACTTAAATATTTCATTTTTTCACAATATTTATAATGATTAACAAAAGTGGTACCAAAAAACCAGGGTACTTAATTCAACTAAACTATATATTTATAAAGATTTATAAGATAAATTTAAGCTCCGTATGTACATGTGCATGTACATACGTAAATATAGTTATAAGTCGATCGAGTTATTTTAATTTTTTAATATATTTAAAGATGATTTTTTTTAACGTAGCGAACTTTTTATTTAACTAGTAAGTAATAGGGATAAATACAAACATCCTCATCTAGTTTTAAGTAATACATATCTCTGATCTCATTATAACGAATTTTTATTTATTTTAAAAATGGAAATGTGATATTTTTAATTTAGAAATAGTTTTAAGTATGTATTTAATAATAACAAAGTGGAACAAAAAAATTAAATTTAATTTCCAAGTGAGAAAATATGTACTTTTGCAAAGTTAAATATGTTATTTTATTAGATACCTGAATAAGTATTAGTACAAAGATTCTTAAAGAAAATAAAAATATTTGTCAAAAAACTATGTATTAAGTGAAAAGCCTTACAATTTATATTTTTCGTTTCCGGTATACGTATTCACATATGTATGTATTAGCATGAATAAAGAAAATTAAGTTTTTGATATAAATATATGTTTCAATGTTTGTGGTTTTAAAGCGGTTTGTATTCAAAATCAAAAGGTAGTTTTAAATCTAATCCTCTGTAGATGCTCCATGAACTAATGCCTTAGGTTAGTCCCGAAAGTACTCTACCGAAGGTAATCTATGGAGTAATGCTTAAGAGTAGTTTCGAAACTACTCTTATTTAAGTGCTCCATGGAGTAAAGACATAAGAGTAGTTTTTAAAGTACTCGCCCACAAGTAATTTTTAGAGTAATGTCTTGGAGTACTTTCGAAACTATTCCTCTGTAGATATTCCATGGAGTAATCCCTAGGAGTAGTTTTGTGGTAGTCTCATGTCATGCAAAGCAGGAGTATATAGTCCTGCCGTAGGACATCGCAATGTTAATTGGACCACATTTTTTATATGAAATGTGGTTAATTTTGGAGTACTCCTTGACCGTTAGGGAGTACTCTTTACATGCATGCATGGAGTAGACGCGATTTTTGCAGGGTTACAAAAGTGTTCCTCTGTCATGCTGTAGCGGACCAACACGTGTCTCTGCGCCAGCTTATTGTTTGTTATCCGATCACTGCTCGTGTTTTAACGAGACGTGATTGAAGTTGAGCATTTGAAAGCACATTTGCATGTCTGGCTGTAGCTGAACGTGTAGAGATGCTCGCTGTTAGTTCTTAGCTCCCAGCATGTTCGGGTTCGAATGCCGTCAGAGGCAACATGTAATTTTTAATTTTTGTCTTGGTTTTTATTAATTTCGAAAAAGCATTGAAGAACAAAAGCGTGTACAAACGAAAAAATATAACAACAATGCCATTGTTAACATGTTGGAGTAGTTTTGTGCTACTCTGATGTAATGCAGGGATGGAGTATATGGACCATCACCATCACCATCACCCTAGGACATCACCATGTTAATTGGACCATATTTTTTATATGAAGTGTGGTTAATTTTGGAGTACTCCTTGGTCCTTAGGGAGTACTCTTTACACGCATGCATGGGGTAGTCGCGATTTTTGCAGGGTTAGCGTAGCTCATTTGTGTTGGTTCACAATAAAAAGTGAACAAAAACCACAGACTTCCACAATAATACGTCTGTCGGGCGTATGAAAACGATAATACGAAAACTGATTTTATACGATACGCTTGCAAGCGTTTATCGTCTATCGTATGGAAATTCACAATAGGGGGGCATGTTTTGTTTAATTGTAAAAAGCCCATGTGTCCCATTCTGTAAACTAGAACTGGTACAGAAATTTCAATCACTGATTTGAAATCGTCATTAATAAAATTATAGTTTAAAAAACTAAAACCTCGCTATTAAAACTTCCATTCGTACTGTCACCAGGTTACTTTAAGAATTCGTACTGTCATCAAGCATGTAACTTGAGAATGGAAATCGCTGCATCTTTTAGGCGCATCAATATTACATAGTTACATCCCGAGCTAATAAAAGCGAGGTAAAAAATTAGGCTACTGCAGGGAAAGCTACTAGTTGTGAACTAGAATTCTACCAGTTTGCGTTTCAGCCCAACTAGTTCACGTTTTATCCTTTTTCAATGTTAGCGACTGGTATTTTTAACATTGCGATGTCCTACGAGATGTCAATTGTCAGGCTATGCATCAGCATCTACTAGTAGAAATACTAGTAGCATCATACCAGTTGATGAGATAGTCTGCCAATTCATCCCCTATGAAAAGCATTAGTATGCCTTTTTGCTCGCGGCGCTCCAACAGTCGCAATGGCCGACAGAGCAAAGCACTCGCGTGGTATGCCTGAGGTACCAGGTCAAGCCCTGGCGCAGGGAAAATTTTTTATGATTTTTTTTTTTTTATAATATTTCTTTTATTTATATTTTTTATTTAGGGTTTTTTATTCTTAAATTTAATAAAAAAAAAATATATATTTTTTAATCTATTTTTTTATGGCACAAGTATTTCTTCCCATATATTTGTTTCTTTTTTTTTGTAAAGCAACTAGATTTTTAAGTTTGTTATTTATATTTAAATTGAAATAATTATTCCTACTTACATTGATCTAACTTTAAAAATCTTAACCACCTCCAAGTGGCCTCGAACCTGCGATCCCAGAACCAGAACCAGTAGTCTTCACGTGACGCCACAGCCGACATTTGTAAGAAAAGCAATTAATTGCGTTTTATTTTAGGCTTTGGCAATTCAAAGGCAGATGTCGCTGAACGCTTAAGATCTTCGAAAATGTCGAACTGGTAGGCACATACTAGTTTATGAACTAGTATTTTTTCTAACTGGTTTGGGTTTTCACTGCAGGGCTAGAACTGGTACAGAAATTTCAATCACAGATTTGAAATCGTCATTAAAAATTAGGCTACTATCATAATCTAATCATCAGACATGCTGTTGCGCGGTGTGATTTTTTTTAATTTTTGAGGTAGTGCACAGTTATTATGAAACAAGTAAGAGCAGCGCTGTCTTCGGCTATGCCTTCATACCTTTCATGAACATCTGCAAATTTTACTTTGACAGATTACTGCTTTTGATCGATAGGGGAGTTACATACTTATATAAAAAATCGCATCTAAACAATCAGAGGTATGGAAGATATACTTTATATGACACCAATCTAAGTGATTTTCACCGCTATGTGATCGGTATGTAAACCGGTAACACAATTTATTGGGTTTAGTTTCGTACATAAAGGAGATATATGGCAAAAACTGGTATCTTAACAATCAGTGCTATAGGAGATAAAGCTTATAAAGCATAGATTTTGACGATTTTCTCAGTAGACTTTGTATTATTATTTATAAAATATCTTACGAAATTTATCGGTTTTAGCTGTTCAAATAAAGGAGTTTTACAGTAAAATCTCATATCTGAACAATCAGATGTATGGAAGATA